CCAACGTCTGAGCAACTCTGATGAAATTGCAAAGAAGGCAAAGCCCAGTCTTCCCAGCAGGTACATGCCAAATTGCACTCCTGGAAAAGGGAAAGTCTCCAAGCCAGAAGGACAACTTTGGGGTCACCTGTGTCAGGTTCAGTGGCGGGCTGAGCTCATTACAGGATTTCACCCACAGCGGTGCCTGGAAGCCCGTCTGCAAGTCGTGGGCAACGTTGACAACTCACTGTCCTGCACGGCTGTCCCAGGGTGCAGGACGCGCCGCATCACCGGGACAGACCAGAACGCGCCAGGAGGGGGCGGTGCCGCCCCGGGAACCTCAGGTCCCCGCCGGCCGCCCCTCGGGCGCGGGCCCCCAGCGGCCTGGCACTTGCCCAGAATTACAGGAGACAGAAGCTTCAGCAGCTCGTCCTCCTGCCCGGGAGCGGCTTGCGCTCCACCGAGTCGATGGGCCCGGCTGTCCCTTCGTGGGGGAGGGCGGCTTGTGACTCCCAGGAGGAAAAGCACAGCGCCCCGCAAGGGGAGCCGTTCCTCCAGGGTGCCGCAAGGGGGCGCCCTGGGCCGCTGGATCGCCGCGTTTGCAGGTTTCTGAAATGTTGAACCCTACGAGATACAGAAGTGGGGGCGAGTTGAACACACAGCGTCAGAAAGAATTCTTTCATAGGCTTACATTGTGCTAAATTGTCTGACTTTTGGAAGCGCCGGCCACTCTCCATCATCCACAGTAGGTACTGAACAGTGTTGTCAATGGCATTTCCGGTCCTCCCAAATGATAGAATTTTGATATGTAAACAGCAACTTTAATATCCTCCCAGAAACAGGGATGGGAAGAGGTCACGCAAGTGCAACCGCCGATGTCTTGCTTCCTTCCTGTCTGCCACACTTACCGCACTTCTCTAGAAATCATAATAACAGATAACATTTCTGAGAGCCCATGTGTCCTTCTTACAAGAAAGCACTTATTTTCCCCTCACCAAGAGCACGGTGAAGTGGGCACCACGAAGCCCGTGATCAACAGTACACATGAGGAAACTGAGGCACAGAGAGCTACAGTACGTTGCCCAAGGTTACACTGCTGGCAAGTGGCACGGAATCACCCAACTGTGGAACATTCAGGACATCAGGGCAAGGCGCCCCACCTGTTGGAAGGAGGGCCTTTGGGATGCCTTAGCAAGAAAACAAGGTAGCCTGCAGCCAGCTTGCTTCTTCAAGATCTCCAGAGGGCATGAGGATGGTAAAATAAAAAACACCAACAAGAAAAAAGAACCCCTATGAAATCTTTTTACATGGCCCATTTCATGGCTCATTTCGTTCATGAATCCATCCAGACCACTACAGCGGGCAGGTCCGACCAAGCTAGCATTCACACCACTGCCCTGGGTCTAGCTCCAAACAGCCATGAGACCCAGTGTGGGACAAGATAGAGCCCAACTTTTCAACCTTGGCTCAGTGTTAGGGTCTTTGCGGGAGTTAAAGATAAAACTGGTATCTGGGTCGGTCTGCCCCAGGTCTATTGAAGCAGAATCTCTGGAAGTAGGTCCCGCCCAGGCACCTGTTGCTGGGGTTACCTTCACCTCTCCAGGTGATTCTGAGGTTTGATCAACATCAAGAACCAAACTCCTGGGGCGCCTGGGTGGCTCAGTGGGTTAAGCGTCTCCCTTTGGCTCAGGTCATGATCTCAGGGTCTTGGGATCATCGAGCCCCGGGTTGGACTCCCTGCTCAGCGGCAAGTCTGCTTCTCTATCTCTCTCTGCCTATTTGTGATCGATCTCTCTCTCTCTCTCTCTCAAGTAAATAATAAATAAATCTTTAAAAACAAACAAACAAACCTATTGGGGTGCCTGGCTCAGTCGGTTGGGCATCTGACTCTTGGTTTTGGCTCAGGTAATGGTCTCAGGTTCGTGGAATCAGGTCCCATGCCGGACTCCATGCCAGGTGGGAAGTCTGCTTAGGGCTCTCTCTCCCCCATCCCCTCTGCCCTTGCCCTCACCCATTGTGCTCCCTTGCTCACTCTCACTCTCTCTCTCTCTCTCTCAAATAAGTAAATGAATAAATCTTGGGTTTTTTTTTAAGACTTTATTTATTTGACAGAGAGACAGCAAGAGAGGGAACACAGCCAGGGGGAGTGGGAGAGGGAGAAGCAGGCTCTCTGCTGAACAGGGAGCCCGACGTGGAGCTTGATCCCAGGACCTCGGGATCATGATGTGAGCGAAAGGCAGATGCTTAATGACTGAGCCACCCAGGCACCCCAAATAAATAAATCTTTAAAAAAGAAAAGAAAAGAATGAAACTTCTTTTTCTATAGCTGAGGAAAGACCTGGAAAGGAGCCATGATTTGCCAGAGGCAGAATGCTAAGGAAGGAGGGAGCCAAGTGTCCTGATTTCTATCCTGGAACCCATCAAAAGCGTTAGTACCACCCCAGACTGGGCCAGCTCCACAAGGAGACAAGGACTCCTGGGGTGTGGGGCACACTCAGAGTCTCTTCTCTGCTGCCCTCAGTCTGAGCTGCAGGGCTGCTCAGTGCCTCCTGCTTCTCCTCAGGACCCTGTGGCCCCCTCAGTGGTCAGAACTCCCCGCACCACAGATGCCGCTTCCCCAGTGTCCATCGGGTGGTTGGGTCACCAGATAAAACACTGGATACCCAGTTAAACTCGGATTTCAGATAAACTACAAATAGTTTTGTAGTGTGAGGATGTCCCATGCAACATGTATATGTTTATTTGCAAAATTCGGCCATGCTACCCAATAGAGCACAGCGACTCTGGTGTCGCCCAGCCAACCGGAAAGGGAGAACGCGCCGCTTGCCCAGCCCACCCAGCCCCTGGCCGTCAGCCAGGGCTCCTTCCCCAACGTCATTCAGCACAGAGAGAAATGATTCTATTTTAATTTAACAAGGAGTTAGAGTTTGGGGGAAATATAATTAAGAGAAATGTCTACTCAGTTATCTTGTTCCTTTATCTCTGGCAGTGGAGGTTTGACTACTCGGACTGGCATTCATTGGGTGGAGGCCTGGAAAGCTCCTGGATGTACTGGGGCGGCGATGCTCTCACCGGACAGCGGGCGTCACCCCCAGAGGGAAGCCAGCAGTCTAACGGAGCCGGCCTTGGGCCTGGGGCTGGGAGAGCACTAGCCTGGGGCTGGACTTACAGGACCCACAGACACTTGGGGCCTTGGGCTCCCAGAGGTGGCACAGTTCCCCAGCCTTGGAGGACTGATTAAGATGATTAATCTAGGGGTGCCTGGGTGGCTCAGTCGGTTAGGCAGCTGCCTTCGGCTCGGCTCATGATCGCAGGGTCCTGGGATGAAGCCCCATATTAGGCTCCCTGTTCACAGGGGACTCTGCTTCTCTCCCTCTGTCCCTCCCTGCTGCTCGTGCTCTCCAGCTCCCTCTCTCTCTCAAATGAATAAATACAATCTTTTTTTTTTTTTTTAAAGGAATATTAATCCAAATGCTTCTGGGAATTGAACCCAGTGAATTTGGGAGTCTGTTCCTTTGGCAAATCTGCTCAATTACCTTCCGTCACCTTAGAATTATGGTGATTTTGATTTGAGTCTTGGGAAGCGTGTTGTTTAAAAGGGCATCCCTGGACACGAAGGAGGAGTTGCAATTCCTTGCCTGCAGCTGACATCGTGCTCCTGCCTTCCCCCAAACCTGTCCCTGCCCTTGGTTCATGGCTTCACTGTCTACCCTGCCTGCCACCCAGGAGATGTGCACCTTTGTCTGATCTCTCACTTGCCAGACCCTGAGTGAGTTCCTGGAGGACCTGCCAGACATCAGATTCGTGTCTCCCTCCCCTTCCCCAACATTTCATTCAGAACTGTGTGCGCCAGAGGCAGGAGAACCAGGAAAGTGGCTGCACACTGGAGGCTGGAGATGGGAACGGGGAAATGGATACACGGTGCTCAGAAGTCTTCCCAGACGGGTGGGCCATGAGGATCAAAGGGGAGGGGAGACTGGAGAACACACCCAGCTCCTGGGCTTTGCTGGAGGGAATTCCCCGAGGAAGCCGGGATGGGTTTGCTTTACACGTGTTCACGGCGGGATAATCGAACACAGTGCTGCAGAGCAGGCAGGTATCTCCTCACAGAGGCAGTGAAATCCTGAGCCCGAGGTGGAGATGCAGGTCACCACGCATCCGAGCCCAGGGACAAACGTGAGATTCCCCGGGGAGGCCGGACAGCTGGCCCCCGGCAGATCCCGGCAGAGAAGAGATGGGCAGCTGGGAGACGGAAGGTATGGCCAGGCTGTGAGAGCATGGTCTCCTGTGATCCACAAGAGAACCATCGCAGGGGGCAGGCAGCCACAGAGGCAGATGCTGTCAGAGAGCTGAAGGCTGATGCACCTCCAAGCCCTGCTCACCACTCCTCCCCACTCTGGGCTCAGGGAGCAACCCCCTTGTCTGCTGGACCATGGGGCAGATGGGGATGGGGGTGGGGAAAGCCAAACGGAGCCTCCTGAGGCCCCCCATTCATCCTGGTCTCCCCTGGCCATGGTGCTGGAAGTGGCCCCAAGTGACAGAAGTTCCCCCCACACACACACACCAGTCAGACCTCTGTCCCTCATCCTTCTGCTCACCTCTGCTTGTCGCGCCTCCTTTGTTTTTCTCTATATCAACTGAAAACAAATTTTCAAACTTTCAAATTTTCAAATTTTCAAACTTTCAATCTCTCTCAGTGAGAGAGATGGAAAGGGACATTTGGCCTTTGAGCTAGAAGTCCAAACAGGACCGGGGTGGGCGATGCCTGAGGCCCAGAACCTCGGGCAGGGTGAGACTGGGGTGGGCGTTAGATCATCAAGAAACACCAGGGAGAATGTTCTTTTATTCTCCAGACCCCAGTACAGCTTTACAAAGCTTAAGGAAGGCCCAGGTAGGGCTCCGCCTGGGTGATAGGAACAGAAGGGGGAAGGAGGGAGGAGGAGGAAGGAGGAGGAAGGGAGGAAGAGGAAGGAGGATGGAGGCCCCCCCCAACTCCCCCCCCACACCACCCGCAGCACCACCTCCTCCACCTGGGAAATGCAGCTCCTTCCCAGCACCTCTAGAGGCAGGGCTTCGGCTCCCTCTTGGCCCCCACCTCTGGCCTGGGTGGGCCCCCGGAGGCCACCTAGGCAGGCTCCCGGCTCCGCACGCCCTGCACCTAGCTCCCCCCTGGCCGGGCCTCAATGGCCACGGTGAGCCTCACGGAGCCGCACCTCGACTTCAAGTCCCAGTGCTGGCTGCCATTGAACGTTAGTGCCGGGGGGCCTGACCCCGGCCTGGGGGACAGCTGGACATTCAACCAGCGGCACCGATCCTCACCGTCGCAGGCGAGCACCACGGTGCCCTCGGGGTGGCTGTAGGTGCACCGGCTCCCGACCGCCTTCTCCGCAGCCAGGTCCCAGGGGGCCCCCAGCTCTCCGTCCTCTGAGCCTGGGGCCTGGAAGCCCAGATGGTTGCCGGTGACGGGACACACCAACTGCTCCTCCTGCAAGGCGGGCAGGAGCTGGCCCTTCAGGTAGGCGGGGCCCGAGCAGTAGGTCTGCGTGTTGAAGAACCGGTCGCTGTACTCACGCAGCCAGCCGAAGAGGTAGGCCAGGTGACAGTCGCACTGCCAGGGGTTGCCGCGCAGGGCCAGGTTGAACAGGTTGTCGTTCGTGTCAAAGATGCCCTCGGGGAGCGTGGTCAGGAGGTTCTGGGAGATGCTGAGCAGCTCCAGCTTGGACAGGTTCTGGAAGAGCGCTGGGTGCAAGGTCGTCAGGTTGTTGCTGCCCAGGTAGAGCCTGACCAGCCCCTGCAGGTCCCTGAAGACGCCGGCGGGGAGATGGGTGAGGGCATTGTGCGACAGCGTCAGGGAACTGAGTCTGGACAGGTTGGCAAAGGCGTCCTCGCTGACGGCCTCCAGCTGGTTGTAGGACAGAGACAGGCCGAGCAGGCCCGGGGTGGGCGCGAAGAGGCCGGCGGGCAGCCCCTGCAGCGCGTTCCCCTGCAGGTTCAGGAAGGTCAAGTTGCCCAGGGAGGAGAAGACGGAGAGCGGCAGGTGGCCCATGGCGTTGTGCTGCAGCCACAGCTTCTCCAGCCGGAAGAGCCCCTCGAACACTCCTGGTGGCAGCTCCTTGATGGCATTGCTGTCAAGGAAGAGCTCCCGAAGGCAGCCCAGCTGGCTGAACACGCCGGGGGGCAGGCCGGAGAGCACGTTGCTGCTCAGCCTCAGGGTCTGCAGGCTCCCCAGGGGCTCAAACAGCTCCTCAGGCAAGCGGGACAGCAGGTTCTGGGCCAGGTTGAGGGTTTTCAGCCCTCTCAGGGGCCAGAAGAGCCTCCCCGGCAGGCTCTGGAACCGGTTACCCTGTAGCTGGAGAGACTCCAGGGCGTGCATCTGCTGGAAGAGGCCCTCGGGCAGAGCCTCCAGCGCGTTGAAGTTGAGGGTGAACTGCCTCAGCGAGGTCAGGTTGGAGAAGGCGCTGGCGCTGAGGTTGGAGAAGGCGCTGCCGGTGATCTCCAGGTCCTCCAGCCCGGGCAGCCCCCCAAAGGCGTCGGGCCCGAAGTGCTGGAGCTGGGTGTTGAGGAAAACCACCTTGGTCAGGTTGGGGCTGCCGCTGAAGGCCCGGGTTCCCACCGTGGTGAGCGAGGTCTCTACAAAGATGATATCTGTGGCATGGGGTGGGATGTCCGGCGGGATGGCGGCCAGCCCTTCATCGGAGCAGAACACCTCCTGGATGAAGCAGTCACAGCCCGCAGGGCAGGGCTGGGAGGGCCTGGCCAGGAGCAGGAGGCTGGCCCAGCACAGCCAGGCTCCGGACAGCATCTCCTGATCCCAGCAGGAAGAGAGAACAGAGGTGACGCCTTGATTAAGGGCGGCCAGCGCCAGGGTGGGCCAGCCAGGAGATGGGGATTAACTCTATCAGGGAGGCCACCCCTTGGGACAGTATGTGTTTTCAGTGGTTGTTTTCATACAGCTTCATGGCAGCCTTGCAAGGTTCATGGGACCCAGGTTCGGACCTCCTGATGGGCTGTCACATGGCCTATCCACAGCCATCCGGCAGGTTAGTGGCAGGACAAAGACCCAGGTCTCCTGGACTTCCCATGTGCTTTCAGGTGGAGGGAAAGTGTGGAAGTGAGATTAAAAGGCATGGAAGAGAGGGAAAGGAGGAGACCGTGGGTAGTATGGAATTTTTAAGGTAATGTGTAAAATCTGAGCAGGTTATTAGTGCACAGGGAATTTTTAACCCAAAACTTCCTGCATCCCCAAATCTCAGCACCTTGCAGAGCCTAATGATGAGACTAACCGTGTGCTCTCGTATGTCAGCTGGGGCTGAGAGCAGCCGCAGGGAGAAAATGGGCTCTTTTATTTATTTTCCTGAAGATTTTATTTATTTATTAGAGAGATAGGGAGCATAAGCAGGCGGAGCAGCAGCAGGCAGAGGGAGAGGAAGAAGCAGACTCCCTCCTGAGCAGGGAGCCCAATGTGGCCCTCGATCCTAGGATCCTGGGATCATGACCTGAGCTGAAGGCAGGCACCCAACCGACTGAGCCACCCAGGTGCCCCGATAAACAGGCTCTCTTCTTGAATCAGTCACCTGCTCCTTGCTACCACAGCCAGATGCTCCCTTCCCACCCCACCGCCTCCCCACCACCTTGGAGCCCATGGAACTTTCCAGCATCATGTGGACAGGAGGATCCCAAATGCAGGGATTCCACAGACCAGTGGATTTTGGGTTTTGAGGTTTGTTTTAAATAAGAAAAGAAGATGAAGTTTTTAGTCAGCTAAAAAAATTGTTTTAAATGCCAGCATCCAACCCCAGGTCACAGATTGGAGCCTCAGCTCCCAGGTGTGTTTTATGGCTCGTTTTTTCCTATGTGAACCATGAGTCAACATGGAAAATTGAGAAATCTCACATTAAAAAGTCCAGATTTCAGGTTGATTTAGGAGTAGGGAGCTCATGTTCCCACATGACAAAACCGGCTGGAGTTGGGCTTAATTGTCCCATGGCTTTGTGGGGGGGGGGCCTGCAGGCCACTACTGCTCCCACCCGTCATTTACAGGGTCTGTCGGGGGCCAGGTTCCATGAGTTCAAATACCAGCTCCGACACGTTCTAGCTCATTCTCACTGTGTGACGTTGAGCGTGTTACTCAACCCAGTTGTGCTTCACTTCCCTGGTCTGTAAAACAGGGATAGTGCTGACCAGGTCAGGATAATTGCAAGGACTGAATGAGAAAACATAGCCAAAAGTTTTAGGTCAGTGTCTGATGTGGAGTGAGAAAGTAATAAATCATGTTAATTATTGTTATAAGTTGTAAGCCACCATCATAACAGAAAGGTGATTTGAACACCAAAAAAGTAGGAAGAACAGAATATCCTTTAGATAGAATACATTTGGCTTTACCAGAGACAGGCAGGAAGGGAGGAAGGAAGGAAGGAAGGAGAGGCAGAGAGAGGAAGGAAGAAAAGAGAGATGGGGGAAAGGAAGAAAGGAAGACAGACAGAAAGAAAAAAACCCTTGAAAAACATAATCCTAACTTTTCTCAATTTACCAGTCCCCAGAAAGCACTCACAATCCTCTCCTTGTTGGGACGTCTTGGCCCCAAGCCCTCTTTGCTGGCCGTGTCTCTGCTGCCCTCTGCTGGCCGCCTCCTCCCTCCTGCGATTCCACTTCAGGCCAAAGGGCTTCCCATGAGCAATCAGGGCGCTTACCAAAGCTCCCTGCACCCTCCTCCTATTCAGACACCCAATAGCCCAGTTTTTCCAGGAATATTTCTGCCTAATCAGTAGAGAGGGACCATTTCTCCCATAGAAAGTGAGTGTCTCCCTCGAGCCCCCTCTGTCGCTTGCACAGATGCTGAGTTCGCAGCAACAAGTGGCAGGGGAGGGCTCTCACAGCAGCCGCACCTGCCTGCCACTCAGGACACGTGAGTCTGTAGCTTCTACATGCAACCGCCAGAGAATAGAGTCTCGGGCTAAAGCTGAGCTCTGTAACAGCTTGCCTGGGGGTCATAGAACCAGGGGGCACCCACTCACCTGAGGCGTATTACAGATAAAGGGAGGGCTCGGCTGTAGAAGGATGAGATGGCCATGGTCTCAGCCCCACCTGCCAGCCAGGCTGGCGCTGGGGATCCTATACAACACCCCCAAGGATCCTCAAAGAAGCCTTCCCTGACCCCAGGAATACGGTGCCTGGGAGTATGCTCCTCGACCTAGGTAGTTAGCGTAGTTCCTTGACATGATGGCTCCCTGTGGCTGTCCCTGCTGTAGGAAGATGTGTGCTTGGCATCCGGCCCAGCACTGACCTGTGTGGGCTTGGTTCAAGCCCCAGTGAGTGATCGCAAGCCAGACCATGAGAATGCACGGGATTCGTCCTCCTCCGGAGGGTAAGAGGGAGCGATGTTTGTCCTAAACACGCCATAATGCATAACAGTGCACACTGTGCCAGTCCCCTTCCCTGCTAACCCCTCAGTCCTTAGTTCTCAAAGGCAGTTTCCAGAAAACTTCCACTAGAGTGGACATGAGGACCCTAGAGCGAACATACACAAGGGACCTCACCTGCTGTCTGTCCGCTCATGCCTAAGGGCAGGCACTGCTGTGACCTGGTCAGCCTAGGGAAGATAGACCTGAGGAGGCGACCCACACAAGCCCTGGTTCCTGGGTACCTGAAGCATGATTGAAAATGGGGGCATAGCCTCCAGATGGATATGTGCCTTTGGTTTTGCAAACTTTCACCGCTGGAGGTGTCAAGGAGGGAAGAGGACCAGAACAGGGCCTCTGAAGTTTAGGAAATGGCCCCAGTCTATGCAGCTGGAGGAAGCAGGGGATGGAATGTTCCCAACTATCCCCCCTCAACCTAAGACTCGTTCTCATATCACTCTAGAATGGCTAAGAGTTTGTGCTCTGGAGTCAGATAGTATGGTTACAAATCCTGTCCCTAGCCCTCATTAGCTGTGTGGCTTTAGCTGAATTGCTTAACCTCTCTGTGCTTCCATTTCTTCATCTTCACAACAGCAAGCTTCAGTACTACCTTCTTCATGGGGCTGTTCTGAAGATCGAATGAGATAAAACGTGTTGAAAGCAGCAAACCCAGAGCCTGGCCCGCAGTGAGCGTTCAGCAGTAGAGACTTAATGACCCTGATTATTCTGAGCGTGGACCAGCCCCAACTTTGTTCTCAAGTTGTCACAGGGGTTAGCCATGGAAAACCTGATGAGATCATCCAACCGCCCCGGTTGGACCAGCAAGATGTCTCTCTACAGCATTTTTCCCGGCTCTTTCCTCCCAGCCAAGGGAAGCTTATCATTGTTTTGCCTTTGGTTGAGAGGAGCACAGATTCTGATGGCTGTGGCTAGGCTACCCTGGCCATGGGCCCCTTTCCCGACTTCCCTCACGAGCAGGTCACTGGGGGCTCTAGAGACAGAGAGCGTCCCTGCCTGGGCACTGTGGAGGCCAGCACCGGAAGGGACTGTGGGGAGCAGCCAGAAGATTCCAGCATCTCTCTGAGAAACCGCCTCTGCATTTCTGCAGAGACCAGCATATGCCCACAAAAAAATGTTCCATGCTCTCAGCAAGCCAGGGGATTCTGGCTCTGGTGGGGGCAGGGGAGTGGTTGACTGGTTGCAAATGGACTTTTTCCCCTTCTCAAATTGCTTTTGGGTTGATACATTTCTGTGTGTGCCCCAAGCCAGTCTGTCATCCACCGCAGAGCCAACCCTCACTCCTACCAGAGGGTGACGGGAGCCCAGAGCCTGGACCCCAAAATGTCAGGGGACTGCTGCTCTACTCGGGGATGGCTACATTGCGGTCTGCATCACCAACAGGGCTGGATTCTGTCCCTTGGGCCCCAGAACATCTGGGAGCAGGAGGAAGAGCTTCAGAGGTCCATCTGGATCTCCTGATGGCCTCATCCAAGTCCCCTGGGAAGTCCAGCTGTCCGGTCTCCTTTCCTGAGTGCCTCCTTCCCCCGGCCCCAGCCAGCTGGCCCTCCCCAACCTGCTACCCACTTTGTCTGAGGTGTCTGGTTTCTGCATTTGTAAATGGAAAACAATCATGATAGGAACACTACTACCTAAATGACAGCTTTGTTAGAGTTGTGGTAATTAACTGAGATAACCGGCATTGAGTATGTGATATGGTGATATAGTTAGAAATACATATTTGGTCTTTGCCTTGACTCCTGCTACAGAGCTCCAAAAACCCTGGAAATTTCCTGAGAGATAATAGAGACGGGCATCTTTTGCTACACATAATAAGGCCCTCTCAACGCACACGTTCATATTAATGAAGTGACTATCCGTGGCTCTTAGTAAGCTTCAGATTATACACAAAGAATTTGCAGTAGTTATCTCTGAAAAACAGAATGGTGGGTGATTTTCACTTTTTCCTTTTGCTTTATCAGAAATTCTCTACAGTTTCTAAAAAAAACAGATCACATTTCTAATAAGGTTGAAAGTCATGGGACACCTGGGTGGCTGAGTGGGTTAAGCCTCTGCCTTCGGCTCAGGTCATGGTCTCAGGGTCCTGGGATCAAGCCCTGCATTGGGCTCTCTGCTCAGCAGGGAGTCTGCTTCCTCCTCTCTCTCTGCCTGCCTCTCTGCCTGCTTGCGATCTCTATCTGTCAAATAAATAAATAAAAGTCTTAAAAAAAAAAGAATGAAAGTCATAAACGTTCGGATTATCATGTAAGACACATAGCCCCTGAACTCATACTGTGGGCTTCCTGGACTGCTCCCCTCCCTAGAACCCATATCAAGAAGGCTCCCAGCGGCCCTGGTGGGAGAGAGCCCACGTAGTGAAATGAGAGAAGCTGTGGGGTGCCTGGATGGCTCAGTCAGTTAAGCTTCTGCCTTTGGCTCATGTCATGATCCCAAGGTGGCTCACGTCATGATGCGAAGGTCCTGGGTTTGAGCCCTCTGTCGGGTTCTTTGCTCCGTGGGGAGCCTGCTTCTCCCTCTCCCTCTGCCCCTCCCCCTGCTTGTTCACCTGTGTACACGCACTCTCTCTCAAATAAATAAGTAAAATCTAAAAAAAAGAAAAAAAGAAGAAGAAGCTGTAAACCGAGCACTCCCCTTTCTTCAAACGCTTCCGCCAGGACACTACCTCTAACTCCTGCTGACACAGCCCTTTCTGCTTTAGGATGTCCCTGTGCCTCCTTATTCCACCTGCACCCCAGGCCCTCACAAGTCACACCTTCCCCAGAAAGCCATCCTTGACTGTGGACCCCACAGGTCATTCCTGTCTTCGGTGGAATGCTTGGGTTCTTCTGCTCTAACTTCTGGTCAGTTGCGCCCGTCTGACTGTGACTTCCTGGGGGCTGGGGATGTTTCCTGCAGCTTGTCTTATGGGGCTGTGCACCCCAGCTCTGAGTGGCCCAGAGCTGAGTGCAGACCAGGTGTGCTGTATCGAACTGACCCAAGTATGTCTGCAGCTCTTGGTCCCCCGTATATCATGTCTTGTGTCCCTTGTGCTTTAGTGGAATGGGGATGCCCTTGAGCTCTGCCAGGGCTGTGACCTGGGTTCAGATTTTGGCACTGCTCCCTACAGGCTGTGTGGGCTTGGACAGGTCCGTCCTTCACTCTAAGTCTCAATTTTCCCATGCATGTTTGTAACCTCATCCCTTAGGGTTAAAATTAGTCCCCAACTGGACAATACATATGTTTACGTTAGATAGTAAACACAACCCATTTAACACAATACCTGCTGAACAGTGAGTAGGTGAACAGTAGTGAATAGTGAATAGTGAATAGGTAGCTACCTACAGATTTTATTCTTGGAATGACTGTATCAACGAAACCAGAACTCAAAGGGGAGCCACAGGATGGCATAAACAAGGCATAAACGAAGACGGAACCAGGCAAACTTGGACATATGGTCTTCCTGCTTAACCCCACCATTCCCTATGCGCTCCCGGAGCACAGAGCCCAGACTACTTTATCTCAGGACCCCCCTGCTGCCACCTGCCTCCTGCCCCAGGCCAGCACCACCCCAGCTGGGAGCCACGGGGGCTTCTCATCCCACAGCAGAGGACACGCGTGGTGTCTCCTGCTTGGAGCCAGGGCCAGGCTCTGACCCCGGGAGGAGTGGCCGGCATCTCTTCTGCCCCGGAGCTGGGACCTGAGGCCAGATTCCTCCCTCATCCCCACAGACCCCAGGAGACCTACCTCGAGGGGCTGAGAGGACACACACCAGCAGCCCTGGTTCTTTCTAGGGAGCAGAAGTATGTCCGGTGTGGTCTGTGATCAGTGTGAACCCAGCGGCCCCGGAGCTGATCAAAGTTCCCGGCAGTGGTCCCTCCCCTCACGTGGACAAGTGTTCCGGGAATGTCACCAGGGTCACAGGACAGGAGAGGAGAATCTGGTGCAAAGCCTCTGAAGATTAATGAAATGACCCTGAACTGTTCCCATGGACAGATCCCCCACTGAGGCCAAAATCCAGCAAAGATCACAGGCCTGGCACATTTAGGGCCCCGGGACATCCACCAGGCCTTCTAAGGTTTCCAGTAGGAGGCAGGGGTGAGGACCGGAGCCAGGGAACCATGCTGACACCCCTCCCAGTGAAAGGCCGGGCCGGTGCTGGGAGCCTGACAGACGAACGGCTGGCCACAGACACCTTCCTGGCTCTCAATGCCAGGAGGAAATCTAAGAGGGCTGTGGGCTTGTTCCTTGGTTTGCTGGTTTGTTTCATGAATTAACTTTCTAAACCCTCCCTGAGTTGAAAGGAAAGAAGATGGAAAGAGGTGAATTTGGGCCCAATACAGAGAGACACTCTTTCACCACAGGGCTAGCCAAGGATGAAAGAAGTTGCTTTGGAAAATAGTGGTTTTCCTGGGGCACCTGGGTGGCTCTGTTGGTTAAACGTCTGCCTTTGCTCAGGTCATGGCCCCAGGGTCCTGCTCAGCGGGAGCCTGCTTCTCCCTCTCTCTCTCTCTGCTGCTCCTCCAGCTTGTGCTCTCTCGCTCATGCTCTCTCTCTCTCTCAGATAAATAAATAAAATCTTTTTTAGAAAATGGTGGTTTTCCTGTCTGGAGATGTCCATCCAGGGGCTGCAGGATGAGGTAAAGAGAGAGTGTGTGTGTGTACACGCATGTGTGCACACGCGCACGTAGCTGAGTGTGTCTTTGTTTTAAGGGGTGCGGTGAGAAGGCATGATTTAGATAAGCAGCCTCGGTAGTTTTCAATGTCCAGAGGCTACCATTCAAAGTAGACTGATGGCTTTAAAACTGTCGTGTGGTATTAATATCTATCTCACTCTTTTTCGTGACTTAACCAGTATTTCTTAGGTATGCAAGTGGCCTTCATCAGCTAAATCCCAACGTTCTGAAGACTGTAGCAAGGAAACACCTTTCGGTGGAGACATAGTACCAATCCACACTCTGGCAGAGGTACAAGGTAGCGAGTCAGAGGGACGAGGGGCGGGCAACACAGTGCGCCCCGCCCCGCCCTCCAAAGCAAGCGGGCCGACAGCCGCAGGAGGCTGTACTCCAGGAACCGCCAGGGCCGGGGGGCTGAGAGAAGGGGGCACACCTCTGGAGGAGACCCACAACCAGGCTAGGGGAACAGTCCGCTCTTACCTGCACTCTGACTGGCTTCTTGAGGCGGTGACGCTGAGTTCTAGAGAGAGAGCTTGTCTATTTACCAGCGTCACGGTGAACCAGAGAAACTGGGCATTCACTGGGATCTGGGTTCAAATTCTGGTTATTCAACGAACCAGTCCTTACACAAAGTATTTAATCTCTGCAAGTCTTTGCCTGCCCATCTGAGGAATGGGTGTGGTAGCGGGCCAGGCTGGGTGTGTGTGCATGTGTGTGTGCATGCGCACGCACATGCGTGAAATCGAACCGGGTAGGAGCAGCCGGCAGACCCCCCTGGGCGTAGGTGCGCATGTGCAGAGGGGAGACTTGCGTTAAGAACTCTAGGGACCTTCTGGGAAATAGGATGAGGACTGTAACCCCTTTTCCCATTAGCCAAATCTCCGGAGACCCGTCTGAGGGGACAGGCTCAGTGGTGGGGGAAGGACGACAGGCCCCATGATACCGTGAGCACATTACTGACCCCGTTTGGGCCCAGCTTCCTGGGACAAGCTTACACCTGGCAGACAAGATCTAAGAGCTGAAAGAGCCCGGGAAAATATAACCGGAAGTGCCTATCCTGGGCACAGCAGTGGGACAGAACGGCAGAGCAGATCACCCTTCTCAAACACTGTGTCGCCGCTGTGCAGCGCATGGCATCCGGAGACCTGGAAAAGTCTTGCGGACACCTGGACACTTTGGAGGGAGACACCTTCACTCAGATGGTGTCTTCTTAGGGCCTGTAACCCACGGAGACAGGTGCCAGGCTCTGATAGGAACGTGCAGCGTGCAGGAAGAGTCCCACCCACCTAAGTCTGTATGCATGTGTGCTTGTGCGTATGTGCGTATGTGTGCGTGCACACAGGTTAAATGAGTGCCTTTCTGGGGACATAAAAGAACCCCCAGTCTGGGAGTCTGGAGACCTGCTTCAGTGTGAGCTCAGGCATTAGCTCACTAGGTGACTCAAGGAAGCGCATTTCCTGCCTTGATCTCAATTTCTTCGTCTATAAAATGGGTTGAACCTATTCTTAAGGCTCCTTCCAGCCACAGTGGCCTAGAGATATCATGTGCTATTGCATTTAGGTTCCCCACTCACTTTCCAAAGGCTTTTTCTCAGCTCAGAATCTGTTCTCCACAAGGGTCTGCCTGGGTGAGCCTCATGCTCATGAACAGGAGTAGAAGCAGCAGGTGTGAGATCCCTTCCCCGAGACATCCACGGAGAGCACGTGTCCTGTGTACACCATTTATTGTTGATTCCGTATACCAGTTTTGTCATAGGTGGCATCCAGCAGACATGGACCCCCAACCCTGCCCACCAGGGCTCACACTCTAAAACCCTGGGGGCCTAGAAATCTCTAAATGCGTCACCAAGCACCTGGGACTATTTGCAATGATTCTAAGCGAGGCAACCGTGATCTACTTTTGAAGGCAGCATGAAGGCAATGGGTTGGTGAAAACGATCTTCCCTTAGGTGAAGGAGAGTGCACAGCTGACAGAAGTATGGCCTGGAGAAGCACCCGCCCCCTTCTCTGAACCACGGAGAGGGCTTCCTCCCCGAGCCCCCACCCACCGCCTCCCCAGCCACCCCAGGATTCAGTTCTGACTGTGGGATCCATGGGCTGAACTCTGTGAGCGGTTTGTAGCTAAAGGCTTGCGCACAGCAGTGTCTGGTTACCAGCTCTTGTACCTAGTTATCTCTAGCTGTCTGCTCTCCACCAGCTTCCTGAGGGTGGAAACAGATTCCTGAAACTGTTCTTTTTCTTTAGCGGGTGGGTGAGCTGAATGTTTGCCTGTACTGACAAAGCTTTTGATCCACACGGTAGCAAGGGATGTTCCGATGGCTAAGACTGTAGGAAGCAACAGGAAAGTGATTCTCATCTTCTTTACGGATAAAAGCCCAGGACAGGCCATGAGGTCTTGTACAAAGTGTGAAGAGAAAAAGAAAACCCACAGCCCACTGAAAATGCTGCAGAAGGAAGAGTGAGTTTGGACCCGTTTCCAGGGGTAACAATAGTACCTATGCAGAGAGGTGTTGTCAACCTTAAAGAGAAGATCCTCGTTCTGCGTTTTAAAGCTATCTATAGGGAATTTTTGTTGCTTATATTGGTTTGCAAAAAAAAAAAAAAAAAAGGGAATTTAAAGCTATCTATACACAGTAGGCGCTCTTGAAAAACAGTGGTTCTAACTGGCTTTTATTCTCTTTCCTCCAACACTGACCCTTCGCTCCAAATGGAGGCTGCTGGGACTGGCAAGGTGACCTAGGGGTCAGTGAGCAAACAGGGAAATTAAAGTGGACTCCATGCCCTACCTCAACTTGGGGGGACCAAGCAGCTCACTCCAGGCCTGAGAAGTGAGCAAATGCGATGTCTTTTTGGAAAGGGAACTCCACCCAGCTTTTCTGGTAGTTCCCTGAACAAACAACACGATTCAGAGAGCCAAAAGGCCTGCCATGGAAGAGGAGGCCCAAGGGCTCCATCCAATCCACTCAGGCAAGCTCAGATCATTGGGTAAAGAGTTCACCACTCCCAGCCGGGGGTGCTCCTACATGGAGACATCTGAGGACAGCTGCCCTCGGGCCAACCTGTGGCCTGGAGAAACATGTTGCTATCTTGGGCCCGGGAGGAAAGGAACTCCAGTGTCATGCCCAATGCCAGGACTCCCCAAGGGTTCTGGGTTTAGAATGGCAGGACATACTGGGTAAAAAGGACTCCTTCCTCACCTCTCTGCCATCTCCCCCGATGGCCCCAGGATCAATCAGGCAGGACACCATAGTGGAATGATGCTCATGTCCCAGGCTCTGGGCTTACTTCCTTTTGGCCCCTGGCAAGTCTTGGTACATGTCCCCCAGTTGCTATAAATGTTCTGAAAACATCTTGGAGACCCAGATTTACCTTGGAGGGAAGATGTCTTTTGCCTTTGACAGGCCCCATCTTTCCCAGATTCTCTGGGACAGAGAATGAAAACTATACGGTGAACTAGTTCTTACACACATCCCTTCCTGGACCCTTTTTGTTGGGGACCCGTCAGCATCACGCGCGGAGGTCTGAGGGGATTTCTTATTTGTCTTGTGGGACAGAGGAAACTAGTAAGAGCCAGTCAGGATTTCCAAATCCTTACAGCACCTCCTGAAGTTCTTTCCTGGACAAACACAGAAACCTGAAATTCTCCATGTCACGGTTTTCACTTCTGAACTGGCAGACCACTTGTCGGGACAAAGACATGAGTTGCCACGAGCACAATTTCTTTACCGGTGTGAGTACATGGCTGGCAGGAAGCGTGGTGAATTTATGTGGCTAGCACTCAAGGAAGGCGATAACTGTGCACCAGACACCTCAAGTCTTAACAAGCAGGTCACAGGCAGCAGGAACTCCAGAGAGCCCCCCAGACGCAGGGTGACCCATCTGTGTACCCTGACATTGCTTCCCATATGTGAACATTCTGAACTTCAGTGTCTAGCCAACTGGAACACTGATGGAGAATTTTACCACCCTGGAAAGATCACCAGGTTCCACTACACTTGGCTGTTCAATCGGAGGATCTCATCTCGGAACTATTTCACTTCCCCCAAATGGAAAGTGAAAATTAAAAACAGATAGAGGCAGAACATGCCCAGAAAAGGCCCAGGCAGAGAGGCCTCTGCTAAGCAGCAGACAGCTTG